ACAAATACCGTACTCTACCGTAGACATTTTTCGCTCTCCACCAAAAATAGAATGGTTTTATTTCATATTAGTTGTGTCTGTGTCAGTGTCGTATTTGGTTTTCACATGTTTGGTTCGATCTTGTTTATGGTGGACATTATTACTACGCGTATGTATTATTATCTATTTTCTGTTTTGTAACCTTTTATTCCTTTTTAAACTTTTGTAACCATTGCCAATCCCTCCGGGGAATGTGTAAGTGTTAATAAAAAAAAAAAAAAAAAATTACCAATTTTATATGGCCGTGTGATCCACCGTATTTTTTCAACGGTCGTTCTATAAATTTCTGATTGTATTTATTCTTATTTTAACATCATGAACAAAAATGATACACTTGTACATGAAACAGTAGGTAATGAACTGTAAATGCGGGCGGTTTCGCTGTCAGGCGAGCGAGCGAGCGAGCGATCGATTGCGCGAGCGGATACTTCCGGATTTGCGCGGTCGAAAAAAAAAGCGGAAATTGCGCGGTCGAATTGAACAAAGCGAGCGAAAAAAAGGCGATCGAAATCCGGAAGCGGGCGGGAGGTTCGGCGAAATGAGTACTGTATAGGTACTACATATGGACCTCTCTCAGAATTGTTCATTTCTTGATGATATCTTCAATTCTCTAATTTTGGGGAATATTTTTGCCATTTTTGGTAGAAAGTGATATTTTCGACTTCTTGTTAAAAACCGCAAGTTCGATTGCTTTGATACTATAAATATTGTTCATTTTCTAATGATATCTTCTGTTCTTTATTTGAAATGTGCAATGCTAACAGCGGAGCTATCTCAGCCAACAGGCTGCTTGTTTTACCATTCTATTATATGATGCACAATATAAAAGTGACATAATATTAACATTGCAACTACAACCCCCATTTACATACATTGGATAGTCCTGCATTTTGTATCATTTGGGAGCAGTAGACCCTGTGCCTTGTTTGGCACTTTGACTCTTGACCCGAGGCACACTATGGCATGTCTTTTCGATGCACATTTAGCCTCAGATGTTTATTTTCAGCAAACCGTCATACTCAAATATTTTGGCCTTTGTCATACTGTCTCTGTGGGTTCTGGAGACTATTTGGCACGTATGTTGAAAATCTGAGTCTTACACTGCAAAAATCATTCAAAAGTTATTGATTACATTGTGTATGTTGTAAATAGTATTAAAATGTTACTTTTCCACTTGTTTACAATTAAATTATCATATTGATTCTATATTCATATTTAGCATTACAGTAATATTGTACATATAATGATGGTTTTCTGTGGCCTGAGGTGATTGGTGTAGTAATGAATAATTGTATTAAATGATCACTTATGTATGGCTTTCTGTATTCATTGGTGTACTTACATGTTGCCTTCACATCCTATGATGTCATAGATATTTCTCTTGGTGCCACTCTAAAATTTTAAGTTGACCAGTCATTCACTGTCATTACCATTTTAGTGATACCAAATATACTCATCTCTCACTGTTTGCATTTCAGTGATGACACAAATACTGATATGGTATCGTGACAATCTGATTAAAATCTGATGTAGTGTACAGGCTTTAATTATTTTGGCTATAAACTTATTTTAATTTTATTTTTTATTACTTTTGTTATTAATGCCCTTTTATCTCATTATTTTACTTTGATTTTGATTTTGTGATTTTTTTTAATTCCGCCCTACCTACATCTGATCCGACGCCTATGTAAGTCCCATTCAAATCTCGCTTAAGTAACAGCCAATCACAGCCCCCCTTTTATACAGGCTGTCGGTTGCTTACTTTTCAGTGTATACGGGCAATCTTTCTGTACATTATATTTTGCCCACTTGAATAAACCATTAATAGAAAATTGCTAGTATATTTTTATTTGCAAAAGAAATTCCACAGCATTTTACAATTTTTGTCATTACATTGAATATTTTTTTCACTTCCAACAAATGTGTACACTTCCAGATACATCTTCGCCAGCCAAGGTTCGTTCATTCAGTCATCGCTTCAATTTTACATCACTGAGCATAATTATCTAGAATGGAAGCAAAAAAATAAGTAAATCGTAATGATTAGAACACTGTAAACAGCTATAGTAAACAATGCAAACTTATTTTAAATTGTATAACGGGCACCGGCCCACGGCATCGACGCGGAAAATTGGAGCAAACAAATATTTCCTGATCAATTGCGATGTGTTCCAAATAAAAAATATTTTATTCCAGTCCAAATCAGCTCAATTACTTTAATAAAGAGTTATTGTATAATGTACAAAATGTTGATACAATTTGATAAATTTTTACAGCTTCAATACCGTAGATGATTTTGGCCCGATCGTCAACAAAACATCACCCGTCTCCAGGGCAGGCAACTTGAAAAAGACACTGGTGTTCGGTCGAACCGGTGGAAACAAAATCGTCACTCCCAGAATAACTATGCGAAATAACGATCTAAAGTTGAACCATTCGAGCCACAATATTAACATAATCATAACTTTCGTTGCATTTGACAATGATAAACTTACCGAAAAGCCGTGTTATTCACGGTCGCTAACGTCGGTATAATCCGCCATTTTATTTGAGTGTGTTTGCCACCTGACTCTGCCCGGTGACGTCATCATGTGCGCTATAGAAGGAGGTCTGTGATTTGTTGACTAAAATCGTCGATAGTGGGTCTCGTTGAAATCTCATTACATAGGCATCGGCTCAGATGTAGGTAGGGCGGAATTAAAAAAAATCGCAAAATCAAAATCAAAGTAAAATAATAAAATAAAAGGGCATTAATAACAAATATAATAAAACATAAAAATTAAAATAAGTTTATAGCCAAAATAATTAAAGCCCGTACACTACATCAGATTTTAATCAGATTGGTACATGTCCATGACGATTTATTTTGCAATTGGATCAAAGATTGTCGACTGGCAGGCATCTTGTTTTGTTTTTTTATGCGGTATCTTGGACGTGCTCTGTCAGTTTTCATTCAAATTTGGCACATACATGTACTTTATACATGTTAGGATGCATGTGCATGACAATTTGTTTCAAAATCTGGTCAAGGATGGCCGATTGACAGCCATCTGACTTTTTGGCCTTACTACTATATTTCCACAATTTATGTACCATTTTCATTCGTATTTGGGACATACATCATACATATCAGTGTGTTTCATAATCAGATCAAAGATGGCCGAATAACGGCTGTTTTTATTTTGGCCATATTACTATGACACGAAACATGTGTTTTGATGTAAATAAATAATCTGTTGTATACGCCACTTGGAACTCAAGTTTCAAGGACACGCTCGCGGCAGCCCCTCCGCTTTAATATGACGAGCACAAAGAGAACTTAACGGGGACTGTGACATTTTCAATGACTTGTTGAATTTCCGCTTTATTTTGAACTGTGCAAAAATTCAGACTACTAAAAATTTTCTGATTTTATAGATCACGGTTAATAGTTTAGTAACTGTCAAAAGTTCAAATACTTTTTGTTTTAACTATCTATAATTATATGCATGCAATCTGACGCTTTGACCTAGATTTGGCTGGGATGAAATATTTTATTTTAAACAGAAGTACGACATGGTTTTCTGGGTTTCTTTTCCTGACTGTGTTGAGTTTACGATTTGTATAATTATTATTTCCCCCCAAGGAGAAGACAAGCCGAAGGAACATGAAGCTAAATAGAAATCCCATGCATGGACTGAGTGAAAGAAAATATTTCTAAGGCTAAAATAAAACCTAATATTTCTGTGTATTTGTCAATTTTGCATATATTTGGTATGACAGTATGTTCGTAAATAAATATCTGGAAAAATCTAGTCTTTCGTTAATAATTTCATTTGTTTGAAATGTTTAATTTGTTTCACGGTTTGGAATATGGATCTCCGTTGGTTTCTCCACACGGTCCAATGTCCGTCATTCAACACAAACAGCATTTATTTATCGCAATTCATGGGGATCATGTCCCATAATTTACGGGCTGTAAAACCAAATAATTAAACAAGTACTATTTATTATATATTTTTTTACCTCACGAAACTACAACACGGCGTATAGTTATTGCGGTAAACAGCCGTCTTGAAATCGATGGAACTTCAATTATCCATTTCTCACCTTGAAATAAAATAAAAAAATTTGAAGAGCATCGGGGATATATTATTAACCAGTCTTACTAATCGTTAGCTTTATTTTATTCAAATGCATAAATTCACAAGTTTTTTGACATTTGTTTGCAACTTCCGGGCTAAAAATGGTTGAAAATGTGGGTGTGGTTCTCTCGCAAAGTCCCGTTGATAATACGGACAAATATGGTTCTGTTACCCAGGTTGTGCTCCGATCAGGTGACTCTCAGCCAATCAATGATGTTGTAACAAAGCATATTTGACGCTAATTTAAGGGTCGTCGCACCATCCAATCACCAGCATCGATGCACATAGTTTTTTTGTGCTGTGACAGGCTTCACAATTATTCACTGAAAAACATCGGTATATTTTGACAAAAGGCTAGGATTTGACCTCAGTTCAAAAAAAGGGGGGGGGGAAAATGGACTGAGATACAATACAGTTTTGCAAGTTGGGAAATAAGGTAAACCAGATTGGGGTCGATGATATTCAGTATCGAAGGACTTCTGTGTGTTTCAAATTGTTCATCGACTGGTCACCAAATATTTACGGCTATAACTAAATGGACACGTTTTTTTCTGAAGCCCAATAGATTATTTCTGCATGTCAAGTGCTATTCGATTTTTTACAGGGAATGTGGCTCGTTTTTATTCAAAAATATTTTTTGTGAGAATACTTGTACGTATAGATGCTCAGGTTGAAAAGGCCGACGCCACCACAACTATCCTATCATAGTTTGAACTTGTTTTGGAACTTTGTATCAAGATGGCAGGCGACAATGCCGACACACCAGGCAGCATACGTGTGTTTTGCATGTATTAGTAGTCTGGGCATGGGGTCGAACTCGGCTAAAACTAAACGAAACACAGAAAAATACCACCGAAATGAGAAATCTGAATCTGTTCTCTTACCAGCAAATAAAATGAACGAAAGTAAGGTAAATTTTATAACAAGAACAGTTTCATTTCGTATAGCAAATTGTGGTGTATCCGAACGACGATTGCATCGTGTGATTTAAATAACGATTTTCCTTGCAGTCGATATGACACTCGGTGTCACCTTGCAGACTGCAATGTACTTTGGTGCCCAATATTCGCAACATTAAATAACATATCGAACTTCTGTACACATGTTTTTCTGTGTGCAAATAACGAGGTCATACTCATGTCACAATACTTTGAAGCTGATGCCATGAGACTGCGACGCTGAGGCCACGATGATGCCACAAAATAAGCGAGACGAACACAGCTTCAATTTTCAATGACAAGAAGCTGATGCCACAATGATGCGATGCTGAGGCAACAATGATGCCACAAAAGCCAAAGATTTCGCGAGAACTGTACTGTATATTGGTTTGACGATCCTATTAAAAATGGCCATGTGGTGACCATTTTTGTGCTAAAAAATCATCAAATATCAAGCATTTCTGGCATTTATAGATGGATTTTGTTCAAACTTGGTACATACATTAGACATTACGGGTTGCTGATGCACATTATTTTATTTTTTAGATCGGATTCAGAATAGCTGACTAGTGGCCATTTTTACCTTGGAAAGGTATATTAAGGGATAAATTTTGTCCGACGACAAATAATAGTTATTGTGTGCATAATAACTTTACTAATTCTATTCCAAACTCGATCGAACTGAATCAAACTCTGGCAGATCTCGGCTCTTGTTCGGCTCCTGACCGTGTGAACGCATTGGAGATAATCTCCTGTTAATCCGTGGGAGGAGCAGTAGTACGGCTCCGATAGAATGCTGCCGTGTCAACATAGAAAATATGGAGTACCTGATTAGTTTTGGATTAAAATCTGTTTATACAAATACCTAATTGTCCTTCAAATGAACAGTTAGCAATTATGTGATCATTACATGTAAGTAAAAAATTTGTATTTGTTTGTTTCAGGATGTATGGATTATTCCAGACCATGTGGTATTTTGGTTACATGGCATTATTCAGTCTGGGACTAGGATTAATGTGTGGCACATTTGGATATGTTGGTACCAGTGCCTTTGTCCGCAAGATCTATTCAACAGTCAAAATTGACTAACCAGGATTTTTTTTAGTTATTTATATGTAAAGTGTCTGGCTTGTTCACTTGTCTTGTTGACAGTGTTACCTTTGTACAAGGACTAGAAAAGTCCATGTACGTACCTTTTGTCATCCATAAATCTTTCTGTAATAAATTGAGCAATGTGAGAATACTGTACACTATTGTAGCTACCATATGGATGTACTTGCCTGTGATTAGCTAATTGGTTGCAATACCTTGATATTTCCATAATACATATTCGCTTATATTTACAGAAAAAAAAAGAAAAGTTACTGAAAAAAAAAATATTTTCTCTTAACGCATGTCGTCCATTCTACCCAATTATTTTTTTTAAAAGACATCTGTACAAGTCAGTTCAGGGTTTGTTGATATGAATGACATTGTATATTTTTTAATCTGATTTTGTCCATATACATTGATGGTATAAATCAAAGATTATAGATCTAATGGTGACTGAAATGGTATACAAGACAATAGTGCATTGTTAAAACTCTGATTGAAAAATGCAATGTATTAGGGGGGGGGGGTTGAATTGAATTGAAAGTGTCTCACCACTTTGTTAACAAACAATATTAGACACTAAGTTGGAGACATGATATTAAAGTAGATGAAAGAGATGTTGATTTCTTTACATTTGATTACTTTCATTTTTAATGCAAGTATAGTTGTCTGTTCACACCAGTGTCATATGGCGTGTGAGGAGCATGCATGTATACGGTATCACCAAACTGAGTCAAATGTAAATGAATGAATGAATACAGTAGTCAATACCAAATTGACAGCTAATTTTTAAAGGTGTATTTCCCTGGTGCTTTCTGTATATTGTAAATAGTCTTACACATGGCTGTATTTTCATTCATATATACTCTGGACTTTCCAGTTAAATTTTTGTTTTACACCACATCTTTGATATTGTATCAAGTACCAATGAGATTGCCATGGTGCACTGCAACCAGCTACAAATTAAGATTATATTTTACAGATGATGCACTGTGGGTAATCTGGTAGATGCATGTATGTAGATAAGTTCAGTTGCTTTTTATTTAATTTTAAACTCTGGTATTTTGTAAAACTTTATTTTTGGTCTGTAAGGGTCAAACAGGAGGGAACTCATTTTATCCATAGATGTATATACCACAGCAGGTGCTGATGA